AACACGGTGCTAGTAAAGAAGAGAAGGGTAATCTCCCTCAAATTATTTAAGGCTACTGTATAGTTTCGCCAAACTTATTCAGGTACGGTCCAAGGTGATTTTAAATACTCTTGCTAACTTGTTTCTTTCTGGGTCTCCTGGCCTACCTCCATGATGGGTTTGAAGGTTTCCTAAAATGCCATTCTCTCTATAAGTGACTTTAATAACAGTATTTGACATTTGTCTAGTGTTTTATGCTAAAGTTTATATCTTGATTGGAATTTTAGTGTTTCTCAGTTAATGAGCCACCCATTTACTGAGAAAAAAAAGCAAAGAGTGTATTGGTGGAAAATTAGCAGTCTCTGCCACAACTTGCAACTATTTGCTGGGCTTTGAACTTCATTCTGTAGGGGATGAGGAACTGGCAAATGGCCTCTAAGCAAGTAAGTTTCACACCCAGACTTGGGTTTTAGATCACTTCAGAAGCTTGCTTGGAGAATATACTCCTGTTTCTACCCAAGGAGGCCTGTTTAATTGATGTTTGCCACTTTTCCTACAGGCAGGAGATGGTAGGTTGGTTTCTCAGGTGGACCCAGATAGGGGATTTGCAGGCAGAGTGAGCGTGTGCTGGGGCCGGAATGGGAGACATTGCTGTCTTAGTCATTCATTCATTTGACTGTTTATCCAGCACTGCACCTGGGCACAGGGTTCCATTGATGGCCCCAGCAGGTCTGATGAAGGCTGGGGGCCAAGTTCAGTGCTTGGCATGCTACACTGATACTCAGCCCTTGGCATGCCATACTAACACTGGTCTCTTTTTTCTCTTGGCCTTAGGATCCCCGAAGCAAACATAAGTTTAAGATCCACACATACTCCAGCCCCACGTTTTGTGACCATTGTGGGTCCCTGCTGTATGGCCTCATCCACCAGGGAATGAAGTGTGACAGTAAGTACATGTCCCCTGGGTGTGTAACCCAGGGAGTATCCTGACTGGCAAAAGCAACAGAGGGGCCACTTCCTCATGGTGTGTGGTCCAACTCTGTAGCAATTTCTCCCGAGTGCTGGGTGGGGTACCATTCCCTACTGCTGCCTAATAATCCTCCCAACCCCACAATGCAGTGCCTGACTGGCAAAAGCAACAGAGGGGCCACTTCCTCATGGTGTGTGGTCCAACTCTGTAGCACTTTCTCCCGAGTGCTGGGTGGGGTACCATTCCCTACTGCTGCCTAATAATCCTCCCAACCCCACAATGCAGTTCCTTAAAACAGTAACCATTTATTTAGCTCATGGCTCTGCAAGGCAGTCCTTTGGGTCTGGACTGGGCTCAGCTGATGTCAGCTGGGCTTATTCCTGCATATGTGGTGGGCTAGCGGGTTGGCTGGGGGGCTGTCTAGGCCTGGATGGCCTCACCTGTGTGTCCAGAAGCATGGCTGGCCATTATCTGAGTGACGAGGATGGCCGGGCCACATGTCTTTCATCTGCAGTAGGCTAGCCTGGGCTTGCTCACATGCAGGATACAGGGACCGAGTTTCAGAAGGGCAAGTCTCTTTGGAAAACCTGCTTCAAGTCTCCTCTTGTGTCTTTGCTCCTGCTGCACTGGTCAAAGCAAGTCATGTGGTGAGGTGTACACTGTGGGAGGGGACTGTCCCCGGGTGTAGATACAGAGAGGCATGGATGAATCAGGACTGTTCCTGCAGCTGTGCACACCTGCTGTTGTCAACATCATGTGTGGGCCTAACACATTCTTTGCATAGAGACCTGCCTCCCTGAGGCACCTGCAGGTCTGTGATGCTCTGGCCAGGCTGGATGGGGAAAGGCAGGTGGGGACAGGACTCTTTATGAAGCAGAGGTCCGAGTGGCCTGAGGGACAGGGGAGCGAGGGGCGGGAGGCTTTGAGAGCTGCGGTTACAAAGGGGCAGGGAGACTGGACGTGTTTGTGGCTCCCAGAGGCCTGTTGGCTGAGCAGTCACGAGGCCAGAGCTGCCCCATCACAGGGGTCCTTAGGCCCAGAGGACAGAAGGAGAGAATCATGGGGGCAGAGGATGACAGGGGTGTGGACATGGATGGGGTGGGAGAGAGCGAGAGAGGCAGAGAGATGCATACACACGCATGGACAGGGGACAGATGGACACATGCAGCCCAGGCACAGGTGCAACGGGGAGTGAAAACTAGGAGAGAGACTCAGGTAAAAGGAGGGACAGACAGACAAACAGACAGACCAACAGACGAAATGATTGGAAGTGATACAGAGAAATGTCCTCGCACAGGCTCATACAGAGAGATGGAGATGGAGAGAGACAGAAACACATATGTGGAGAGATGCACAGAGAGACACACACACAGACAGGGGGAGGCAGAGAGACGCAGCTGGAGATGGAGAGAGTCAGACCAGACATCAGAGCAGAGAGTGGAAGAGACTATTCATCACAGATGTGGCCAGGTTCTGGAGGTACACATAGAAGTGGGGGGCAGGAACAGGGAGGAGACAGAGACACAGAAACAGAGAGATCCAGAGACACGTGGTGCACGGGCCCCTGGGTAGACACATGACCCGGCAGGGAGGGAGACGGAGGGAGGCTGGTGCCTTCTGCCTGCAGGACACTGGTTCCTTTTACTGCACATGGTGCCCCAAATGTGGGGACAGTGCCCTGCCTCAAAGACAGGGGTTGGGGCTTGGGCTCAGCTCAAGTCCTAGGGGCCTGTCCCTCTCCCTCCATCCATCTCCTCCCGTAACTCATTACCAGCTTTTGTAATCTTCCCGCCACCTCCTGGAGCTTGGGTGGGGTGCGAAGGGGCTCCCCAACCTCCCCTGTCCCCTGCTGTATTGGGTGCCCCAGCCTCTCCCCCAGCTTCTGAAACTGGAACTAGCTTCCCCTTGGAGAGCAGTGGATTCCTGGCACCCCTCCTGGAGCAGCCGTTATGGGATACACCTTAGGGGAATCAGCCACCACATTGCATGTATTTATCATGTAACACCTGGGATTCCATTTACAGACACGTTTCATTCGTCTCACCTCGGGTCTAAATTCTTTCTTGTGATTAGTTGTGGTGGGCACTGTGGTCCACCCGTGTCCCTCTTCAGGGCCCGCCTGTCCCCCAGCTGCTGTGGGTTCACAGAGGCACCCCTTGTGGGGAACTGCCCTGGGTGATGCCCTTCCCAGGGGGAGGTTCATGTCCAACCACTGCTGACACAGGTGTGCAGAGGCCGGGCCATCTTGTCTCAGTTGGGGACAACTCTGAAGGGTCATCACAGCTCCTAGTTCCCATTACGGTCACTTCAGTTGCAGCCACTCGGTGGGCCAGTCCCCCACCCCTACCCCAGCACTCCCCATAAAGTGCAACTCCGTATCTCAGACTCACCTCCAGGGAACGCAACCTATTATCTGCCACGGTCACTTCAGTTGCAGCCACTCGGTGGGCCAGTCCCCCACCCCTACCCCAGCACTCCCCGTAAAGTGCAACTCCGTATCTCAGACTCACCTCCAGGGAACGCAACCTATTATCTGCTGATATTAAAAAATCAGGAGACGTAACATACAAATCTGACCTTAAAAAATGGAAAACCTTCACAGCTTTGAGCAGGTGTCCTGCAGGGCTGTGTCTGAGTGGGGCTGCTGTGTCCTCTGCTTGGCCAAGTCCCCACCACAACCACGTCGTCCCTCACTTGTGTGACCAGCCGGCCCATGGGCATTGAAGTTGGTGATTCTGGCTTCACAGCCATTGGGGTGGAGGGCTGCCTGCTTCAGGCTACACCGTTGGCTTTTGGGGAGGACAGACAAGTTCGATCTCCTTTGTCCATCAGGGCTTGGGGTAAAGGTTGGAGAAGCCCGTCCGATGAGATCCTGGCAGGGCAGGTGGGCCTCAGCCTGGCTCGAGGTCTCAGCTTCAGGTGGGGCAGGTGTCTGCGGTCCCCACCCGGCCAGCCTGAGCCATGCCCCATCTGTCTGCCCTCACAGCCTGCATGATGAACGTGCACAAGCGCTGCGTGATGAATGTCCCCAGCCTCTGTGGCACTGACCACACGGAGCGCCGTGGCCGCATCTACATCCAGGCCCACATCGACAGGGACATCCTCATCGTCGTAGGTAGGTGGCCCTGGGGGCAGAGAGGGATGTCGGAGTGATGGAATGTCACAGGGGGCAAGGAGGGGGCGAGACACTGCTTTTGCCCCCTGTGACAGCCTTCCCTGCAGTGGGCACCCATCTGTAGGAAGTACGTGCCCTCAAAGCTATGCTCTCAGTGCCTGGGGCTCGCTTGAGCTCAGAGAGGGGCCCCTGAGTGCCCTGGGTTCTCACTTTCATAGGATTCTCCACTCCCCTTCTCTCCCTCTCCTGTTCCCTCTCTTTCTCTCAGAATCCTTTGGAGTGTGCAATTCTGTTTTCTTTATCCAGATAGTCGAGAAGGGATGCTTGGTTCTTCCCCAGACTTAGCAGTGGGAAAAACACAATCTTCATGATAAACATCGCATTTGGAAGAATGTTACGTCTTGGGGAGAAGGGAAGAGGTGTGGAACCCAGGGAGTACCCTGGAGCTTTCCATGTATTTGAAGTATCTCTTTCTTTAACCTGATGGCAGTTACACTGGTCCTTTTTATTTATCTCTACATTCTGGCACATCTAAAGTATTTCACAATAATAAGGAAGAAGGACAGTGTAGCCTGCTGGAGACATGCCGTGAGGGGAGGGGAAGAGAGGAGAGTCGTGTCTGCCGTTCACGTATAGAGCGTTTGAGACATGCTGGGCTCTGACCCGTGAGGCTCAAGGAGGTTGGGAGTCAGTGGCGCTGGGCTGGTGAATATCAGCCACAAGCCATGGCAAAAATCAGCACTGAGTAGATGTGAATGGAACTAAATCTCTGAAGGAATTTTCTCTCAAACACTTGCAGCACCAACTGCTGTAGACTTTATAGATCTAATTAATACGAACAAAGTTTTATGAATCAGTAACTTGGGAAATTGACCATGGAAGGGATTGATTTTATAAAAACTGGTCTGTTTCTGAGGCCCCAGAATGGTTCAGTAGCTCTGAGGTGCTGAGCCCTGTATTGGGAGGGGCTTTACGTAAAGCATATACAAATTGAAAACTGTCCCTCTAAAGTATAATTCCTTTTTTAAAGCGAAGTTCCTGAAGCCCAGTAAGCTTTTAGGAAATGTGCATTCCATGGCATTACTTTTTCCTCCAAGAGGAAGGCAGGTGGCTGCCTGTCTCCCCTCAGTGGGATGCTTGGGGGCCCCAAGGGAGAATCCTGCAGTCACAGGTTCAAAAGAGGTTTCCCCCACTGACTAGGCTTCCTGGTCCCAGATGGGCAAAAACAAGACTCTGCTTCCCTCTAGAGTCATCCGCTAGGAACTACACTGGCTCAGAAATGTTACTGCAGGAAGCCAAGGTTTATGGAACACATTGAATACCCAGTGCTCAAAACCTTACATGTTGTCTCTTTCAGTCCTCACAAGGACATTGCAAAATATCTATTATTCTTTATGAATGAAGAAACTGAGGCTCAGAGAAGTTATACGTCCAAGAGCTCACACCATTCGTAATAGAGGTTGAGCACCTCTAATCCAAAAATCCGAAATCTGAAATACTGCAAAATCCAAAACCTTTTGACCACTGACATGATGCCACAAGTGGAAAATTCCACACCTGACCTCCTATGATGGGTCGCAGTCAAAACTTTGTTTCATGCACAAAATCATTTGTAATACTGTATAAAATGACCTTTAGGCTATGTGTATAAGGTATACATGAATTTTATGTTTAGAATTGGGTCTCATCCCCAAGATATCTCATTATGTATATTCAAATATTCCAAGATCCAAAAAAGATCCCAAAACTGAAACGCTTCTGGTCCCAAGCATTTCAGATAAGGGATACTCAACCTGTAATAATAAAACATGTATTGAATTTTTGAGCATGTCAATTATTGTTTGAAGCACTTACAGGCAGTATCTTGTTTAAGTTTTGTCAGCAACTATAGTGATGTAAGTTGTTATCATTCTACCCATCAGGAAACAGGCTTAGAGATTCATACACTTCCTCCCTTAGGTCTGTTCGACTTTAAGTACTATGTACTAGGCTACTTTTTAGTTTATTTTAGTTCCTTCCCTTGCCCCTCTCTATTGCCTTATTAATTCCCTCTACGATTAAGCTATGGCACCTCTTATGGGCATTCCTTGGGGAATCTTTGTTCCTATGTTGTACAATACAATATCCCTTCAAGTTCAAGGTCAAAGTCTTCCCCCTTAATCATAGATATGCTCTGGCCTTGAGAGTGTTGATCATAAGCCAATGATTCTCAGGCAGTCCCAGTACATACCTATGAATAGGGGGTGTATTGTTTCCTAGGGCTGCCATAACAAAGTACCACAAACTGGGGGCTTAAAACAAGAGACATTCTCTCGGTGTTCTGGAGGCTAGAAGTTTGAAGTCAAGGTGTTGGCAGAGTTGGTTCCTCTTGGAATGCTCTCAGGGACCCTGTTCCATGCTTGTCTCCTGGCATCTGCTGGTCGCCAGGAATCGTTGGTGTTTTTTCCATGTAGACACATAATAACTCCAATCTGTGCCTCCATTACTATGTAGTGTTCTTCCCTGCATGACTGTATGTCCTAATTTCCTCTTCTTCTAAGGACACCAGTCTTTGGATTAGGGCCCACCCTAGTCTAGTGTGACCTCATCTTAACTTGATCACATCTGCAAAGACACTATGTCCAAAGAAGGTCACATTCACAGGTCCTGGGGTTAAGACTTGAACATATCTTTCTGGGGGACACAATTCCCCTCGTAACAGGAGGGAGGAAAGTTGGGGCTCCCTTAAACTTAGGGGAAGAATATCTGTGTGCTCAGAGCTCTGATATCATTAGTTAAATAGCTGCTAACACTTTAAGAGATGTCTGTGGTTTTCCAAGTGTTTTGATACTGGGTCACCTAATGGAGGTAGTGTTGTTGTCCTTTCTCTTTGCCAAGTGAGAGCACAGAGAAAAGGCTGCCACCTGCAAGCCAGGAAGAGAGCCCTCACCAAGAACCCAGTGATCAGTACCTCCATCTTGGACTTCCAGCCTCCAGAGCTATGAGAAATAAATGCCTGTTGTTTAAGCCACCCAGTCTATGGTGTTTTGTTATAGCAGCCTGAGCAGACTAATACAGTCAGTCATTGCCACAGGCTGCTGGGGATGGAATGGGAGGGTAGGATAACCTCGCAGGCGAGGTAGCTTCTGTGCAGCTGAGGGCAGTTTTCTGGACACGGGGGCAATTGTGAACTATTAACAGCCAACACACAGCAGCCGGGGGTGGGTGCATTGGCCAGTGTGGAGCTGGGCAGGATCCAATAGCATCCAGGACACCTACCTGGGTTTCCCAAGATCTCCTGAGTGTCCTTCTGGTTTCACTCTCAGGAGTCCAAGCTCCTCCTCCTTGATCTTGGCCAGACAGATTGGAGAGAAGAGAGAGCTAAAAGTTGTGTGCGGCCCTTCCCAGAAGTGCCAGGACAGAAGTGGCCTGGCGGTGTCTGTGGCATTGCTCCCACTTTGTCCAGACCCTAGAAGCATGTGCAGTGTCAGGAATTTACATCCACCACCAGCCCGGGGCGCTGCTGTTTTCCCTGAATGCTGAGTGCTCTTTGGAAATGCCAGCATCTCCAGAGGTGGGAGGTTTACTATCTCTCTTGTCTGCTTAAATCCAGGCTGTATATCTGCTTGTAAGGTTTTTGCGGGTCAAGATCAGAGTGGGAATCTGATCAATTCTTATTTTAAAAACTCATCAGTAGTTTCTCACTGTCTTTAGGGCAGACTAAATCTAGCATGTGGTCTCATTCTCTCTTCTCTGTCTCCTTCCTCTTTCTTTTAATCCTTCGTCCTCTCCAGACTGCCACACACCAAAGGACACCTGCGTTGTTTGGAATGCTTGTCTTTGCCATCTTCTCTTCCTCCACCAATTAACTTTTCCTCTTCCTCTAGATCTCAGCTCATTTTTGTCACCAGGGAAGCCGCCCCTCACCTCCCCCTGTTGTGGGCGCTCATGGTGTCCTGAACTCAAGCTTGTGTCAGTTGCGGTTTTGTGTTGGGTTTGATTAGCATCTGCAGCTCCCCCAAGACATTAGCCCCATGATGGTAGGACTGTGTTTGCTTTGGTTCACAACTCTATTCCCAGCACCTACCAAAGTGAGCATCTCTAAAGATTTGTGGGATCAATGGATATATGTAAAAAGGAGAAGCAACTGGAGGGTCCTGATAGACGGTCGCCTTCTGAGGTCAGGAGCAGAAGGTCAGCAGATAATCCAGTTTACACCATTGTTCTTACAGGAAGCAGGACACAGAGAATCTTAAGTACCAGGTCCAAGGTCAATAGCAAATATTACTGGGACTGGGATCTACCCTTTGGAGCCATGAACACCCTTGTTCCCTAGACAACGTAGAAAAGACATCAGTGTGGTGGGACTTATAGAATTGTAGCAAACTGTATTGACATCATGGTGCCCAGGAGTATCCTGAGAACTGGCAATACAGTGTCCAGATCACAGATGTAAAATGCTCCGAAAGTTCATGAAGCCCGTGTCTTTGTACGTGTAACAATATCTTATTCAACCCCTTCAACTCAGTATCCCCCATCAGCATAACAACTGACGTCCCATTATTTACATTCCCATCTATATTACAGTAATCCCCAAAACCTTATCCACGTCCATCTTCATATCCATGATTATAGCTACCAAAAATGTTCTAAAGACACAGAAGGAGCAAATTTTTTTTGATATTTCTTTTGGGGACTCCCATTTTGTGTTCTTGCCATTGTACTGTGCTGTACAGAACCTTCTTAGACTGAAACATCTACCAGACAGACGTAGGGACTCCCAATATTGAGGTATTTAAATCCCTCCCAATATCTGACATCCACACATCAAAAGAAGAAGAGCAGCAAAGAGACAAAAATCCTTGACAGGCTATTGGGGAAAGTCAAAGGTCATGTCAGATTCCAAAAGGGTATGCAAAGCAGGCACTCTCAGGAAAAAGGAACTGTTGAAGGCTCATAGAAGACCCTCTTACTATTATTATTATTTTTAAAGATGACTGGTAAGGGGATCTTAACCCTTG